TCTGATGGCTACGATTTCAGATGATTTTACGGTCTTCTTTAATATTTTATATTGATCAAATTTTTCTACAATCAGCATATACAGATGTTACACTTTTGAAAATATATTGAAAATGTATTCCCCCCCCAAAATAAATTTTAACATAGATGCTCTGAGAATTTCCATCATGTTTATCTAAAGGCTTCTCTTCCTCCCCAGCAGGTGACCTTGGATGCCTGGAAAAGCCTCTGCCCCAGTTATAGAAGCAGTCCCTAGAAAACTTGGGGAAGATGAAAGAGGACTAGCTGCATGTGCTACACATACTAAAAAATTCAAGCTGTAAATATTTAAGTGTCATTTTGCATGTTATTTATATATTTGCTCAGCTGTCTGTACTTATGTTTGCTGTACCCTAGATGTGCTTTTCTATGTTTTGCCTTAAATAATGTTCTCCTGGGAGAGAACCAGTCTGTAAAGTCCTTCCTGTAGAATGCCAAGAGAGCATTTCAAGCAACTGGATATCTGAGCAATTATCTTGACATTGTTAATAAAGATCAATAATTATTTCAAGCACTAATTAGTGCAAGGAGTGTTCTTGATGTCATTACAAGTCTATCTCACAACAGTTTAAAATCTCCTACATCTAGTATAACATCTCTCTCACGGGAATTATACCTGAGATTGTACAGTTCGATTCCACAATCATTTCTTTACCACCTCCTATGAAACACCAGGTATCGTTGCAAAAATGAGTAGGCTAAGCCGTCATGTTCACAGTCAAATGCAGGTTGAATTCAAGCTAATCAAAACTGATCAATATTTAACATGTGACCATTTGCCAGTCCTTCTGAAAGAGGAAAGGTACTGACCAGATGATATGTAGCTCTATTTTTCACATGGATGATGAAACCAAGGACAGTTTCCATTCTCTAAGAGGGTAGAAAGGCTCTCAGGAAGAGTTTTTCCCCATTTTAAGGACTTAAAGGGGAAACAGGCTGCCAGACACGCCGCGTGATGTGTATGCAGAGGGGCATGACTTCTACCCGAGATTTTCTACCTCCAAGAACGGAGCTGTTTTTCTTGGGAATGGCTAGGAGTCTGTACTAAGAGTTCTTATCAGGACCACAGCAGCATGGCAGTGTAACCCTGCAGGAATGTCAGGGGGGCAGGAGGAGAGATCGTGATGGGCTCCTTCATTTCCTTGCAACCTAGGGAGTGACTGGAAATCGTTTTGAAAGACAGGCTTGTGCTCAGGGGATGGAGACATCCAAGTTTTACGTATCCTGACCTGCGATGGTACACCCTGAATGTTGAGCTAAGCTAATGTACCATGCCTCCTGAGGATGCCAACAACACCAGATCATACTCTTCAGCACGGTGTGCGCACGTGTGTGTATATGTGTATGTGTAACCAACTATACGCACACAAAGGTATTTTCTGTGACTCTTTTCTCTTTCTAGGACTAGATATAGAGATTTGATTTCTGGGAATGGATATAGATACTGTTGGCAGGGAGCAAGGATATGTGCCGGCATGGAGGGGATCCCACGAGACCTACCCTGTAACTCCAAGTAATAGGGACAGGTCGTTATAGAGCAAAGGAGCCTAAGTGTTATTACTATTATTTTTACATTTCTCAGAAAGTCTCTACAACCTCTCTACTCCAGCTCTCCGTGTTGGATCACTCTATCAGATGTAATGGCTCCAGATTGCGGACTGAAAACAGAAGCCACTGGCCCCCAGCAGGGGCAGAGGATATGCCAGGCCTGGATGAGAAGCACAGGTCTCCCAATCTGGGACCAAAACCTCTCTTTCACTGTAGCTTCATGCTTAGGATTCCACAACCCCTTCCCTTTTTTCCCTCCCTAAATAAGAGACTGCTCTTCCCATTTTGCCGATGAGAAAAATGAGGTCCAGACCTAGCAGCCACACCCAAGCGTTTGTGACTAGGCCAGTGCTTGGAGCTCAGGGGAAACCACTAACTGCGGATACCATGACAACAAGAGCTGTCTCTTGCATTCTCAGTTCAATCCCTGGAAAAGAAATGACAACATTCTTCTTGTGAACACAGAGTAACTGTACCGAAGACTTCCGACTCATGTCCCATTCTCTTCACTCCTTGCCTGGCCCAAGCCAGACCCCCTTCCCTCCCCACAGATCTTAGATTCTCCACCTGCTCCCTCATCATCTTCAAGTGTGTTCTGTGAAATAAAATGAAACAGAGTAGGATCTTGCTAGTGGAGCCGTGGTGAGGGCAGGGCCCATCCCTTCCACAGAAGGTGAGGACAAAACAAGACAAAGTCCACATGTCCAGGAATTCATATGCTAGACCCGTGCAGTCTGGTGTGGCAGCCACTGGCCACGTGCAGCTATTGAGCGCTTGGGATGTGCGAAGTGCAACAGAAAGACTACGTTTTTTTGTATTTCAATTAATTTTAATTCAATTTTAAAACTGACCATTTGGTTTGGTTATTGGAAAGCATAAGTATGTACGAAGCAACTGAGGTTTGTAACTCTACTTCTTCAATCATAACCATTATGAAATCTAAATACAGATCAAGTATTTCCGATGAAAATGTAGTGTCTAAACTCAGATGTGCTCTGAATATAAAATACACAGCAGAGTTGGAAGACTTAGCAGGAGGAAAATGTACAATAGCTCATTAATAATTTTGATATTGATGCATGTTGAAATGAACATACATACTTTAGATATATTGTGTGCAATAAAATTGTATCATTAAAATTAATTTCACCTGGTTCTTCTTTTTACATTTTTTTTAATGTGGCTACTGGGAAACTGTAAATTACATATCGTATTTCTGTTGGTTCTCTGCTCTAGATGTTTAATGTTCCTGGGGATAATGCTGGAGAGGGGATATCCTGGTCCAGGGGCCTATTCATCACTTGCCCTCTCATATTGCTACAAGGTCCCTCCAGAACACTTTCCAATCCTCTCTTTCTGAATTACTGGTTTAATGTTACTCCCATTGTGAACACGCACTTGCCCTCATCCCTACCCACCGGCAGCATTCTCTCTCCTCTGTCCTGCCCCCCTCCTTCTCTCCTCTGCCTGGCTGTGGGAAAACCCATTCCGACTGCGAAGAGTTCTTCTCTCCCTTTCCATTTCTGTCTCATCCCTTAACACCACCTTCTCTGACTTTTTCTGACGACCGCCATCTCTTGAAACTACTTCATTAGAGGTCAAGGTCTTAACAAGAGGTCGGCTTCCTTAGAGGTCTTGCAAGAAGGTCAGAGGGAGAGGCCGTCACAGGCTTGCTCGGGCCTCTCTCCTTCCATATTGCTCTGCCTCTCCTCCCTAACGCTGGTGCTGGCTGTTCATGCCCTCTGTCCTCACCCCCTCGACTTCACGCTCCCCTTCTCTCTTGACCTCCCCCCCCCATCTCAGGTCAGATTTCTGGAAAACGGACTCTGCATGGAGATGGAGAATTGCTGGTAGGAGGTCTTGGGAAATAGCCTTGGGAACAAAACGCCTGTAAGAAAGTGAGGATGTGGGACTGGACAGAGAGTGAACTTTAACCCAGGTGCAGTTTCCACGGAGGCCTCCGCTGATCCCTTGGGAAGCTCTGGAGCTAGAATAGCCCTTCAGGGTCCTCCAGTATGAAAGCAAGCGGATGTGCCTTTGTATCCCTGCATCAACTAATCGGACCAGATGCCCCCAAGGAGGGGCAATGTGGCTTATACTCACTATCCTGAAATGATTCTCTCCAAAGTCTCGCAAAGATCTCTTCAGCTCCAAGTCTAACCTGTTTTCTTGGGTGCCCTCCTCATCGGTGTCCTTGTAGCCCAGGCTTCTCCTGGATCTGGGCATTCTGCACAAGTGCTGGCCCTCCTGGATGATGTCAGTTTCTTTCACTGGCTCCTTTTCGAGCTTCGACCTGGGCTCTGTCCTCAGCCCGGCCCTCTCTACATTGTCCAAACTCCCTCCATCTTGTGTTCCCTCTGCTTCACAGCACTCCAGGTCTTCCTCCAGACTTCCACACTCAAAGCACCAGCATGGTCCTTCTTCAGACCCCCTCGCTACCCCTCCATCTATGACACACAGGGCAAGCTCTGTGGAGGCCCCCGTCCGCTGCATCTTCCACATTCACCCCCATTTCAGGCCTGCCCCTCACAGGGACCACTGCAGTCACCTCCTGCGACCTCCACCTGGTCCGCTCTGCTGATTTTTGCTCTGGTGCTACGCTTCTGTCAGCAATCCCTGCTTCCAAAGGCTTTCCTGACCTAGCGCCCCTGGTAAATGGGTAACCTTGCTTGCTGCAGTCAAGTTTCAGAAGAACGTGGGTGGATAAGCGCAGGCCTTTGTTACTTTGAGAAATAATATGCTGCACAGGTAGAAGAGAGCCAGTTCTCTGCTTCGCACCTGTTCTCAGCCAGGGCATGGCCTGTCCTGTGTCTACTCTTCCTCTTTTCTCCAGTCTGGGAGGAGGTCTCGAGGCTTCCTGGGCCCAAGACACAGAAAGCCAAGCCCATGGTCCAGAGGGCTCTCGCTGGGACAGGGCACTGATGGGAGGCTTCCTTATATATAGGGTGTAGGCAGAGGGAGAGGGGCGGCTCTTTGGGATCAGAGGGGCTTGTCCCTAGAGTCCCTGGGAGCCCCCACAGGCCAATGTCTCCCGGGACCTGAGCCACGCACCAACCCAGGGGAAGAAAGCAAGACCTGAGAGAGCCCCCCCACCCCCACCCCGGGGCTGGGAAAGAAGGAGCCCGGGAGCCGCGGGCAGACAGGAGGTTTGTGAGCCTCCCCTCCCCTCCCCGCAAGGATCCCCGGGCAACCACACAGCTGCCCCTAACTCCGACTTAATTGGCTCTGTGAGCTCCGAATTGAAGAGAGGCCAACTCCCAAACAAAGACGCGGCCCAGCTCAGGGCTTCTGGGGAGGCCAGCCCGGCCGGGAGGAAGGGAGCCTGGGACTCGGAGGGGGGCGAGCCGGGAGGGTGGGCGCTCGGGAAGCGGGGCGGGGCGGACCGGCAGGAAGTGCCCGGGGTGCTGGGCTGGAGCCGGGCCGCCCGCACGCTGACGCTCTCCCGCTGGGAGGGCCCGGAGCGCCGCCGCGCCTCCCGAGGCTCCCGCTCCCGTCGCTGCGTGCGGAGCCCGGCGGCCCGAGGAGCCCGGTAAGTGCGGGGGGCGGCGGAGCAGCGCGCGGCGCTCGGGAGGGCCGGGGCCGGGGCGGGGGCGAGGCGGCGGGCCGGTCGCGCCCCCACCTCCCTCCCCCTGCCGCGCGGCCCGCCGTGCTGAGCCGGACGGTGGTCGTGCCTGGGCGGGCGGGGGCCAGCCAACTCTGGGTGCGCAGTGGGGGCGGGAGGCCTCGGGTCCCACTGGGGGGACACGGGCGCGCACTGGGCTCTGCGGGGGGTCGCAGCGTTTGTGTGTCCCTAATTATACTCTTGAGTCCTGAGTCAGCCTTTCTGCCCTTAGAGCCTTGGGAGAGGGCTCTGGGCTTCTGAGTGCCTCTTGCCGCCCAGCGTGCTCGGTGCCTGTCTCTCCTCAAAATGTCATTTTCTTTGTCCACCCGGATTCTGGTAGCTGGCTCTTAGGCATAAGCCCAGGGTGACCGGTCCAGAGTAATCCTAGCTAGAATTGTATAGGGCTTGTCTCAGTCCCCCATGCAAAGCAGAGTTTGCTAAATGCTGGCAGCTGGTGTGGCTTCTGTGTCCCATGGGGACACATCTGTGTATTTGTGGGGACATGGCTATGCAGGCCCCATCACCTGTGTTTACCTGTCCAATCCTGCAGGTGCAGTTGGCCGGTTTGGTATGGGAAGAAGGAAGATGTGGATGGTTCTAGGGTGTATTGTTTTCCCAGTGTTATGTTCAGTATTGACAAGAGTGAACTGGCTGAAAATATGAAAATATGAAAGGAAGGAGGGGTCAATGGGGTTGGACAAGAGAGCATCTCACCTTAGGTCTAAATTGCTACAGATCTCTCCAGCATGTGGGCACACAGTTATGAGGCAGGGATAGCAAGGAGAGAAGAGGCAGCTTCTAGAAACCCTCCTTAGTACACTCCAGGGCATAAGATGTAGGTGGAGGGGAGCGAGGGAATGAGTGTGGTATTAAACCAGGGTGGATACTCTGTGTTTAATCTGTGAGCAGCTTGATGATAGCTACCTTTGGAGTCTGGAGCCCTGGGTTTGAATCAGAATTCAGTGGTTGTTATTATGTTACTAGTGATGTTCCCTGCACAGGTCTCTCGCGGGCTCAGTTGCTTGTGTGCAAAATGGGATTTAGAACTGCTGTCCTGGGGCGCCTGGGTGGCTCAGCCTGTAAGCGTCTGCCTTCGGCTCAGGTCATGATCCCAGGGTCCTGGGATCGAGCCCCGCTTCGGGCTCCCTGCTCAGCGGAGGGCCTGCTTCTCCCTCTCCCACTCCCCCCGCTTGTGTTCCTTCTCTCGCTGCGTCTCTCTCTGTCAAATAAATAAAGTAAAATCTTAAAAAAAAGAACTGCTGTCCTGCCTACCTCAGGTGGTACTACTGGAGGCTGAAATTGGCTAATGCCTGGGAAAGTGCTGGGACAGCCTTAGGCTCGAAGGGCAAAGGGCAAATGCTGGGCTCATGGGGCGGAGCCTGAGGCTTGGGGAACACTTTGAGGGCCTGGAGCTATTTGGCTGGGGTTAGTAAGGGGAGCAATTTGCATACTGCTTCCCTTGATATTCAGCAGGAGCGTGTGCCTAGAGCCCAGCTTTGGACTCTTGGTGTGTTTGATCCGTACAGACCTTGCGGTGCCAGAGGTTTCCTATGAAAGCCTTCTACAGCCCAGGAGGAAAACTGGCTTGGCTGGCGTTTAAGTTGTGTAACCCTAGAGCAGCTTGACTTTCCAGGGAGCCTTCCTCCGGGTGAGCCGCCATCTTGCTTTTATCTTCATGCCCCCAACAGAAGCAGTCAAGAGCCCTTTCCACAGTTTGAAGCCAGGGATATAAGAGAGGAGGAAGTTTTCCCGAGCAACGTCATGGGTGTGGGATGGCAACTGCATGGTGCTGTCTTCTGGGGTACAGAGCCAGACTCAAACCAGCTGAGGAGGTCTGAGAGGGCACCGAGAGTCATGACAGGCGGCCCTGAACGCCAGGGTGGGCGTGGGGTTTTGTGGGCACTTGGATATCCCCCGTCGGAGAGCCTTATTTGCATGTAGTAGCTGTGTAGTAAACACTGCGAAAGGAAAAAGAGCACTGGCCAGGGGGCCTGGAAACCCAGGGTCAAGTCCTGGCTCGGCTCTCAACCTGTGTGTCCTGGGGAACGTCACTTTACCTCTTTGGGTCAGCTTCCTCACTGGTCAAAATCAGGGCATCTGTCCAACCAGTTGTTCTGCCCTCTGCTCAGGTTTTACTGCCTCAAAGAGGCATTTCTGCGATCCCCCATCTAAAGTAGCTTCCTCCTGGGCCACAAGCTCATTGCCCGGATCTGGTTCTTTCATAGCACTTACCATCGTCTGAACTTAGCTCTGCTATCTCCAGCCATACTGGAAGATTCTGGAGAGCAGGGCCCTCCCCCGGTCCTCCTACCTGCTGGCTCACCAGCCCCTGGAACGTAGTAGGTACTCAGAAAAGGTTGTGTCGGTGATTGAGCGAATAACTGAATAAGCAGGGAACGGTGGCATGCTTTTCAAACTGTGCTCCTAGGAGCTTTTGAGGGAGGAGCAAGGCCCATAAGCAGGGCCATGGGTCCCTCACTCCAACAGCTGGGGGTTAATCTGAGTTATGGGCTGGCGTCCAGGTAGGATTTCCTTGGAAGGAAGGGCCCTCCCACTAAGATAAAACTGGAAAACCATTGTATCAGAAGACGCCGAGGGGCCTTTTCAAGTCCAAGTTGAAATAATAGTCCTGCAGCTGGAAATAGTGCAGGCTCGGCCCTCAAGGAGGACCAACGGCAGTGATTCAGACACTCACATCCCACAGATCACTTCTGCTTGGCCAGGGGAGTCGTCACAGGGTTGTTTTTTCGCAACCGGTTTAATTTCCTGAATTTTTGGAGAAGGTTAATATGAAGATGATTTTGCACACAGTCCAGCAACCAGCGGTCCATGGGAACTCTGAACTATGTTGGAGATGAACAGGAGGGGACACTGACTATCTGCAAAGTGGATAAGCCACACTCTGATTGAGAGCTGCCTGTTCAGGGTGACCATGTCTACGTCATCATCCGGAGGTGTGTTGCCAGGAGAACTGTCCAGATGTGCCTCCTGCCCAGTAGATGTCCACTAAGCATGCTTTATTCTTGAGTAGCTGGCAGTGGGAAGGAGCCCTCTCTCTGAGCCATTCCTGAGCCTAGAAGACAGCGATGTGATGGCACCCCCTGACCCGCATTTACAGCAGCCTTGGCAGCCCCAAGGTTGTCTCTTCCTGTAAATCCGTTTGCAGGTGGCACTGTGGCTCCCATATCAGCACTGTGTGCCCAGGTTTTTGGCACAGAATCCAGGTTGACCACCACCTTTGTTAAACCCCGTAGGAGTTAGTATAAGACATGTATACTCTAATATAGTTATATAACACATAATATATATATATATGTAATTATGTAAGATACATTAATGTCGTATGGTATATAATATGTAATATATAACATAACATGCTAAATATATGCTATTAATATATAAATACATATTATATAATTACATATTATAGTATATACTGTTAGTATTATATACTATATATACTATTACTATTATATATTATTTATAGTACTATATATTATATACTATTATTTTATTATTATTTATATTACTATATACAATTATTATATAGTACATAATAGTAATATATAGTATCTAATCGTGTGTGTGTATATATATGTATATATAGTATGTACTAAGAGTATATAACATGTAATGGTAATATTATATATTAATAGCACACCCCTTAATGGAGAAGGAGGTTCAGTTGTTTCATTGAGTTGTTTTGGGGGGATGGCTGAGGGGGGAGACTATGGAAAGAAGTGGAAAGGAGAGAGGGAACACAGACACCCCTGGTAATTCCTGCCGACCATTGACCTTGCTTCTTGTAGCAGTCCCTGCCCTGGCTGACCCCCGTGGGCTCCCGGGTTCATGAGATTTGTGCTTAGAAGGGCATGCACTGCAGAGGTGAAGGGGAGGGCTGATCAATATGCACAAATTCACCCAGAGCCTCCTCTGAGCCTCCAGGCCTCAGAATACCTAAAGACCTGGCCCCTGACCTCAAGCATCTAGTTGTGGGGAGATTAAAGTCACTCCCAGGAAGAGAGGAGAAAACAGTTGAGGGCACACTGCTGGGGTGGCTCTCACCTGAGCTGGAGCTGGAGCTCAGGAAACGAAGGAAAACCGGTGCAGGAAAACCGGTGTGGTGGGACTTGGCGGGGGAAGGGCAGAGAGCCCAGCTCCAGGTCAGGTACTCCAGCCTGGAATCGGGGCCCTGCCCCTTCCTTCTGAGTGGCCCTCCGTGTGCTATGTGACCTCACTGAGCTTCAGTTCCTCTTCTGCCAACCAAAGAAAGGAGTTCTACCTCCCAGCTGGCCTGGGTACCAATGGATGGCAGAGTTAAGTCCAGAAAGCCCAAATCCGGAGAGGGGCACCGAGCGCCCAGGTGTGGGCTGACCAAGGTGAGCACTCTGGACAAGGGTTCGCAGTGACAAGGGGGGCCTGCCAGGTGGTGACTGCTGCACCACGCGTCCTGAGTGCCAGTCATCGGGGGTATTCCCCGGGGCCAGCCAACCACCCTTTTTCTTCTCTGGCTGTCTTTCCCCCTGGCCGTTCTGCTCTCCACACAACTGCGGGCAGGATGCAGCTGGACTTACGCAGCTCCCTCCCACCTCATTGCCCTGTGTACGTATCAGCTCTTCTTAAAGGCTTAAGGGGTTTTACTGCAAAATGCCAAGAATTCAAGAATTGAGGCTGTTACAGAGGTTCAGGAAATGTTAAAGGAAATTGCTCTGATGGTCCCTGATCCATTTTGAAGTAGTTAAGTTTTGAACTAAAGTAGAGTTCCCTGACCCTCTTTGATGGCAGACAGCAGGGGAGAACCCCGCAGTGGTTCTCACCTGTGTCCTGACTTCTAGATTGTTCTTCTTATTATTATTTGAACAGGGATCTCATGTTTTGAAAGATTTTTGTCAGCCACACTTCCCTGTAAATGAAAATTAAATTTGTTT